ACAAAGCCCTGGACTGGATGGTTTCACAAGAGAATTTTACAAAGCATTTAAGGAAGAGCTAACCCCTATCCTTTACAGACTATTCAAAAAAAGCTGAAAAGATGGGAATCTACCAAACTTTTTTTATGAAGCCAGCATCACCCTAATTCCAAAACCAGATAAGGACACAACAAAGAAAGAACACTACAGGCCAATATCGCTAATGAACATAGATGCTAAATCCTCAAAATATTGGCAAACCACATCCAGCAATACACTGAAAAGATCATACACCATGACCAAGTGGGATTCATCTCAAGGATGGTACAATATTCACAAATCAATAAATGCAATATATCACATAAACAAAAGGAAACACAAAAATCACGTGATCGTATCAATAAATGTGGAAAAAAGCATTTGATAAGGTACCACACCCATTTATGATAAAAACATTCATCAAAGTGGGAGTACAGGGAGCATACCTTGACATAATAAAGGCCATATATGAGAGACATACAGCCAACATCATACTCAGTGGGTAAACCTAAAAGCTTTCCCACTAAGATAAGGAAAAAGACAAGGATGTCTGCTCCCACCACGCCTATTCAACATAGTATTGGAAATCCTAGCCACAGCAATAAGACAAGAGAAAGAAATAAAAGACATCCAAATTGGAAAGGAAGAAGCAAGACTGTCACTATTTGCAGATGACATGATAGTGTACAGAGAAAATCCTATAGACTCCACAAAAAAAACTACTCGACCTAATACATGAATTTGGAAAAACAGCGAGATACAAAGTAAATATTCAGAAATCAAAGACATTTTTGTATACCAACAATGAAATATCAGAAACAAAAATCAGCGGGGAAGTCCCATTCGCTGTAACAACAAGAAAAATAAAGTACCTAGGAATAAACCTTGCCAAGGAGGTAAAAGACCTGTACTCAGAAAACTACACAACACTAAAGGAAGAAATTAGGGAAGACACAAACAAATGGAATCATATATCATGTTCATGGATTGGAAGAATTAATATCATCAAAATGTCCATACTACCTAAAGCAATTTATACATTCAATGCAACCCCTATTAAAGTACCGATAACATATTTCACAGATACAGAACAAACATTTCAAAAAATTTATATGGAACCAAAAAATGACCCCAAATAGCTGAAGCTATTTTTTAGAAAGAAGAACAAAGTAGAAGGGATCACAATACCTAATATCAAACTGTATTATAAAGCCTCTGTAATCAAAACAGTCTGGTACTGGCATAAGAACAGACTCATAGACCAATGGAACAGAATAGAGAGCCCAGAAATAAACCCAAGTTTCTATGATCAATCAATATTTGACAGAGGGGGCAGAAACATAAAATGGAGCAAAAATAGCCTCTTCAACGAATAATGTTGGGAGATCTGGACAGCTACATGCAAAAAAATGAAACTTATTCACCACCTTACACCATACACAAAAATAAATTCAAGGTAGATAAAAGACTTAAATATAAGCCATGACACCATAAAAGTCCTAGAGGAAAACAAAAACAGGAAAATGTGAGATATTCTATGCAGCAAGATTGTCGCTGATGTGTCCCCTAGAGCAGGGACATAAAGGGAAGAATAAACAAATGGGACTTCATCAAAATATAAAACTTCTTCAAAGCTAAAGAAAACTACATTAAAATGAAAAGAGAACAACCATATGGGAAAACACATTTGCCATGATACCTCTGACAAGGGTTTGATCTCCAAAATATATAAAGAACTCACACAACTCCACTCCAGGAAGACAAACAACTCATTTAAAAAATGAGCAAAAGACCTGAATGTACACTTTTCCAAGAAGGACATACAGAGGGCCCAGAGACATATGAAAAGATGTTCAGCATCATTAGCCATCAAAGAGATGCAAATTACAACCACATGAGATACCACTTCACACCAGGCAGAATGGCCATCATAAACAAATCAACAAAAAACAAGTGTTGGAGTGGATGTGGAGAAAAGGGAACGCTAGTGTACTGCTGATGAGAATGGAGACTGGTGCAGCCACTGTTGAAAACAGTATGGAATTTTCTCAGAAAACTAAAAATGGAACTGCCTTTTGACCTGGCAATTCCACTGCTGGGATTATATTCTAAAAACCCTGAAACACCAATCCAAAAGAACCTATGCACCCCAATGTTCATAGCAGCACAATTTACAATAGCCAAGTGCTAGAAGCAACCTAAGTGCCCATCAGTAAATGAGTGGTTCAAAAAACTATAGTACATTTACATGATGGAATACTATGCAACAGAAAGAAAGAAGGAGCTCCTATCCTTTGCAACAGCATGGATGGAACTGGAGAACATTATGGTAAGTGAAATAAGCCAGATGGTGAGGGACAAATACCATATGATCTCACCTTTAACTGGAACATAATCAACAAAAGAAAAAAGCAAACAAAATATAACCAGAGACATTGAAATGAAGAACAATCTAACAATAGCCAGAGGGGAGGGGGAGGGGACAGCAGGGAGAAGGGTTTACAGGAACTACTATAAAGGACACATGGACAAAACCAAGGGGGAGGGCATAAGCAAGCGAGGGAGGTGGGTTTGGCTGGGGTAAGGGAGGGAGTGGTGGGGAGAAAATGCAGACAACTGTAATTGAACAACAATAAAGTAAATTATAATAAATAAATAAGAAAATAACAAGTGTTCAAGAAAATAGGTAAACTGGAACCATTGTACCATGTTGCTAAGAATGTAAAATGGTCTGACTGCTGTGGAAAACAGTTTGGTGCTTCCTCAAAAATTAAGCATTGAATTACCATATGATCCAGCAATTCCACATCTAGATATATACTCAAAAGAACTGAAAGCAGGGTCTCTAAGACATTTTTATACCCATGTTTATTGCAGTATTATTCACAATAGCCAAAAGTTGAAAGCAACCCAGTGTCCAACAACAGATGAATGGATAAACAGAATGTGGTATGTACCTGAAATGCAATAGCATTATTCAGCCTTTAAAAGGAATGAAATTCTGATACATAATGACCCTTTAAAAGATTATGCTAAATAAAATAAGCCACACACAAAAGAACAAATATTGTATGATTCTACTTATATGAAATACCTAGAATAGGCAAATTTGTTGAGACAGAAAGTAGAATAATGGTTTCCGGGGGCTGTATGGGGAGCAGTCTGAGGACTTATCACTAAATACTTACAGAATGTGTGTTTGGGATTGTAAAATAAAGTTTTGGAAATAGATGATGGTGATAATTGCACAACATTGTGGATGTGATATACAGTAAATTAATTTGAGTTGTGCACTTAAAATGGTTGAAATGGCAAATTTTGTGTTATGTGTACTTAACAACAATTTAAAAAATTGTTTTAAAAAGAAAGAAGCATTTAGCATTTGGAGACAGGGGTAGCAAGAAGGAAGTGGGCAAACTACCAGCCCAGGTGACTATTCCTGTGCAGAGGGATGTGACACTGTCAAAGGAAAGCACAGGGCCTTGGCTATCTTATCTAGTGGCAAATGGTACCAGGAAGGCCCAAGTTAGAGGGCTTCCCCATCTCAGTTCTCATTTCATTCTCAAGAATGAATTCAGGTGAGAGACAGAAATGAGGTGGTGAGTTTATTTATGAAATACACTTGAACATGACACTGAAAGCGGGCACACAGCTAGTCTGAGTACCTCGCCTTATTAGAGTTTTAAGGGTTATATGTAGGCAGCGCAGCCAGCATCCAAGCTCCCCATCCTCTTCCCTTCTCAGGATGATGCCATTAAGATAAGTTTCAAAGGTTTCCTTTCCCAAATAGTAGAAATGATACACACAGAATGTCAAGGCTCCCCTCCTCCTGGCTTATCATGTAGTCTCTCTTGTGACCTTTGGAACACCTGGCAATCTTATTTGACTGGGCTCAGGACTACCAAATTAATGAGTGAGACCTGTCTCCCTCACCCTCCTTGCCTTGGTTTGTTCTCTACCCTAACAGCAAACTCTGCCCAGGCACTACAACTGGCATCCTGGACAGCGAGCCTGAGGCATGAAGGAAAAACATACAATCACTAAGCTCAGATGGTTGGTGGGTGGCAGTATGCACCTTCCCCCATCCCATGTGCCATTTCAGGCCCCAGTCATCTACCCTGGGCCATTGCTGCAGCCTCCTGACATGCCCCTGGACCACCCTAATGCTGAGGGGGTCAGCTTCCTAAAGCAAATCTAATCCTGCTGCCTCAGCTCACAAGTTTCTCTGCTGGTTCCCTCACTGGAAACCTGCTGCCTCCTTGGTTTGGCCAAGGCTATTTACAGGCTGGTGCCAACATGTTCCTCTGGCCTAGTCTCACACCCTCCCCACACCAACCCCCAGGTTCTGTCTGGCCATGCTGAGCCTCTCACATTTCCTTATGAGTGTTCTCTGCATACATTGAAAGGGTCTCCAGCCCACTCCCTTGGCAAACTCCTAAGTAATCTTGAAAACCCATTGTAAATGTCACCACTATGTTGGGTCTTCCTGACTCTTCCTCAGAAGGGATGGCTGTGCCCTCCTGCTGTCCCACAGCACTTCTTGTAGATAAATTGAGTTATACACTACACGTGGGACAGAATCTTGAGCTAGGCTAAAATGTTAAAGAAATGGTAACCTTCTGAGGTGGAGGTCTTGGGGCCATTCAAGCAACTGGCATCTTGGTCAAAGATGTGTGGCCTAATTATGTCCCTTGTCCTTAGGTGCCCACTCCCCCATCCTTATTCCCCAACCACATGACCCTGAGGAAGGGGCCTAAGAAGTGGTACTAGTTGAGACTGAGAAACAGAAGAGGAGAAAAAGTACAAAATTGGGGGTGGGGTGGTTTCTGTGAACAAGTAGACCACATATAAACCAGGCACACAAACCCCTCAGGTGACCACGCCTCACATGTGGACTTTGGCTGCTCGGGTGGGGCAAGTGAGTCAGGCTGTGCCCCAGCAGGCAGGAGGTGCCTGAGCTCGCTCATTTGGCTGCAGCCATAGCCAGCATGACTGAGAAGACCTGGGAGCTGTGCCTGCTGCTTCTGCTGGGGCTAGGGCTGGGGCTGGGGTCCCAGCAGGCTCTACCCCCACCCTGTGAGAGGTAGGAGTGGAGGAGGCAACGGGGGATGGAGCAGAGAAGCTGAGATGAGATCTCAAGCATTGGGGGTCAGACTTTCAGAGGGAAGGGAAGGAAATTCGGTTTTCTCATATAGCAGGCTCTCTGCCGGGCACTGACCTCTAGTGTGGAGAAAGATCCTGCCTGAAGTTGGCCTATGCATAGTGGAAGAACCTGCCACGAGCCTTCCTTCCTACCCTCCCTCCAAGCTGCTCCTTGAACTGTGCAGGACTGTTCTCAGGATTGTTCTAGGAAATGTTCTGCTTAATTTACCTAGCCTCAAAGTGAGATGGGGTATAAGGAACTGAAAGGAGATCCTGGGTTTAACCTCTGACCTCTGTGACAAAGGACAAGAAACTGCTTCCCAGAGCCACAGTTTCTACCTCCAAATAATAAAGGCAAGAGGCCCTGTCCTACCTCCCAGACTCACAGGACGTCATCCATTCTTTGTGAATATGGATTATCAAGCTTTCACTATGCCTTCTAGGGCTGCAGCAGTGAACAAGAAAAATGAGGCCTTTGCCTTCATCAACCTTACATAATAAGCAAGAAAATAGAAGCTAAATAGTGATAGAAGCACAATTAAAAGTGAAGTGAAGTTAGGGAACCACTCAAGGGAGTGGGTGAATAGAGAATGTTTCAGATAGAAGGGTAGGAAAAGTGTCTTTGAGAAACTGACATTAGAGCACAATCATGGAAAGAACTATACTGTGCGGATCTGGGACAAGACAGTCTAGCATGGGAACTGCAGTGCAAAAGCCCTGAGGTCACTGTTCAAGGACCAGGAAGAAGGCCTATGTGGTTGGGACAGAAGTGGTAATAGGCTGGAGGAGGCAGAGGCTCCAAGAAAGAGGGGCCCAGCGTTTGGGTTTCATTGGCAGGACCAGAAAGGTAAGAAGTGGTTCCATATGGGATATATTTTTGGAGGTTGAGCTGATCAAATGCTGATGATTGATTCTGGAATATAAAAAGGGAAAGGATGTGTCTGGGATAATTCATAGATTTTATCCTGAGGAGTTGTAATAGGAATTTCAAAAAGGCTGTGTGATCAAGTTGGTTGCCAAAAGTAGAGACAAAAGACTGTCAGGAGTCCCTAAGCCCATCTCAGCTTCAGGGATTTCCTAGTACTCACCAAATGGTTATATCCATAGTACAGTTTATTACAGTGAAAGAGTACAGATTAAAATCAGGAAAGGCATATTGGACTCTGGCCAGTGTGGCTCAGTTGGAGCATTGTCACATCACCAAAGGTTGCAGGTTCAGTTCCCAGTTAGGAGGGTACATACCTAGGTTGTGGGTTCAATTCCGAGTCCGGGTGCATATGAGAGGCAACTGATAGATCTCTCTCTCTCTCTCTTTTCCTTTCTGTCTAAAAACAATGGGGAAAAAAAATGTCCTCAGGTGAGGACTGGGGAAAAAAAAAGGCATATAGGACAGAGTCCAAGAGAGAAAAAATGTAAGCTTCCAGTGATCTTCTCCCAATGGATTTATACAGACACCTAATTTTTCTAGCAATAGTGCATGACCACATCCATGAAGTATGGCCAACCTGGAAGCTCATCTGGACCTTGTTTTCCACAGATTTTATTGGGGACCAGTTACAGAGGAATGGAGTATCCACATGACTGACCTTAGTTACTCAGTCTCCAAGTCTCTAAAGATTAAAGAGACACTGGGTATTTCTTGGCCCCCACCATAAGTCACACTGTTAGCATAAAGTATCTGGCATGGCCTAAGGCCCCAGTTAAAAAAAAGGCTTATCTGGCAGAGCAAAATATGAAACCTGAGGGGTTTGTGTGAATATCTGAAGTTGTAGCCAGTTGGTCAGAAATAGGGGGTAGCTTGGGGACCCCTGGACTTGCAACTGGTGCCTGGAATGAAGGCAGCCATATTGGGGACTGTATCCTTGACCTGGTGCTGATGTCTGAGCTAAATGATTAGTGCCAGAATTATATTGCAATATTGCAGTTGGTGTCAGAAAACATGTGATTTACTAGAATGACCTTGACTCACTGAAACACGTGGCTTAGGGAATAGCAAGATGAAAAGGAAGGGGTTGAGAAGCCTTTAATTCCTGCATGGCCACAGGGTCACCCATGGTTTGAAAAAGCAGTTGTGCTGTGATTGGTTACTAAAGGTAAAAGTTACCAATGGAACCTGGCTGGTGTAGCTCAGTGGATTGTGCACGGGCTATGAACCAAAGTATCGCAGGTTCGATTCCCAGCCAGGGTACATGCCTGGGTTGCAGGCCACAGCCCCCATCAACCGTACATTGATGTTTCTCTCTCTCTCTCTCTCTTTCTCCCTCCTTTCCCTCTCTAAAAATAAATAAATAAATCTTTTTTAAAAAGTTACCAATGGAATTTAAAGATGATGGATCTAACTCCTGGGGTGTTGACTCACTGGATACATAAGAAAATACAAAATAATCAGGCCCTGGCTGGTGTAGCTCAGTGGATTGAGTACAGGACTGCGAACCAAAAGGTCACTGGTTTGATTCCCAGACAGGGCACATGCCTGGGTTGCTGGCCAGGTCCCCAGCAGGGGACGTGCAAGAGGCAACCACACATTGATGTTTCTCTCCCTCTCTTTCTGCTTCCCTTTCCCTTTCTCTAAAAATAAATAAATAAAATCTTAAAATAAAAAGAAAATACAAAATAATCAGTTAATGTTTCCTATAATAGCAAAATTGAAAGTGACAGATGGGCCAAGGTTAGATTCCGACCAGTCCAAACTTCACCTTCCCATCTCAGGAGCCCCTGCCAGTGGCTTCAGATCCATTTCCCAAGAAAACAGTTATTTTGAAACAACAAATAACAAAGAAGAGAATGGGTTTAGACCAGAGATTTTCAACTTTCTTTTCATCTCATGGTACACATAAACTAATTACTAAAATACTTTTTTGTCAATCTGACAAAAAAATTAGTTATAGTTTTCAGTCATTCACATTGGATGACTATTGTTGTGTTGGCTATTGTCATTTTTTATTTGACAACCTAAGGCAAAAGAGGTCAGTGCCCCTGACTAAATAGTCAGGCATTGCATGTTTTAAAAATTCTTGAGGCACACCAGTTGAAAACTGTTAGGATAGACAATGGAGAGAGTCAATGGACTTATCCCAGCAGGGAGACCTCTTTAAATGGTTATTAAGAAATGTTTGCTTTATTCACAGAGCAAGGAGAGAGTCAAGAGACTCATCCCAGCAGGGTAGAAATCTTTAAGTAGTTACTAAGAAGTGGGATGAATAAAGCAGCTGTTTACAGGGGTCAAAACAAAAAATCTTAATGCAGCACTCTTAGAGGTTGAGTGTACCAGTGGGAGACACCCCAAAATGAAAGGGCCATAAATGAATCTGCTTTATTCTCCCTCCTTTGGTGAACTTTAGAAAACAGCAAAGCAAAGAGGACAATAAGAGACCTGACCTCCAGTCTGCTGGGACAATTGTCCTGAAATTTAATCAGGATAAAGATTGATGAGAGGGTCAGAGTCCCTTAGATATGTCCCCTGCTGAGCACTCAAAGCTTTAGGCATATGAGTAGGCAAAATGGTTGGAGATTAGAGAAGTTTCTTGGACTCTGTGACATGAAAACCCTGTGCCCTGTGGTACCAAAAGCCACTAGTGATGCCCTAACAGGGGCTACAATCAGATTGAGAGGATAATGGAATGCAAAAGTTGAAAAGATTAAGATAAAAGTTCAGATGAAATTTGGAATGTTTGAACAGACGTTATGTCACATGGTTGTTTCTCCTTATCCTAAATGTAGGGAACACTTCTCCTACCCAGTATTGTACAAATCGAAACCTGTTGGTGAAGTCCTAACAGGGTCACAATTCAGAATGCAAGGGTTGATAGAACTAAGGTTAAAAAGTGGTATGGATAAAAACTGGTATGTTTGAACAGTTACGTGAAGTGGTTGCATCTGTTTCACCTGAATGTGTTACAGGGATGGATATTGTGCCTGACCAGGGAATGTTTCCACTATCTAGTACTATAAAACAAAAGGCATGTAAATCTGCCTGTTGAGCAATATTAACTGGGCATTGCAAATGATTAATCAGTAAGGCTGTCAGAGTCCACATAGATTGTAGCCTCCTGTGCAGCACAGACTGGGAGTACAGCAAAAACCTGTGGGCACCTCCCAGCATGACTGTTGGGACTTTGGACTAAAGAATTGACAATTTCCATTTGAGGGGCAATTAGTAGCATGCTATCAGACATTAATTGAAACTGCCCCTATGATCACTTTGAAACTTGAATTACCCATAATATATTGAGTGATATAAATGCTCCAGGAGGGAGGGCAGTGCCCAGAAGTGTTCCATAATAAAACGGAACAGGTCTATGCAGGGGCATACTACTAGGGGAATGTAGAGCTACTCGGTGTATTCCGCAGCAGGTACTCTTTTCCCCAGGACTGACTTTGGAACAACCTGATGAGCTGCCAGACTCTATTGCTACTTGGACAGTACCCAATAAACAGCTCTCAATTGACCAGAAAGGAGCTGATGGTTTACGGATGGCAGTGCCAAGGTGAACAGAGAACATACTCTTTGGAAGGCTGCCACTCTGATTAAAGATGATAAAATCAAATTTGTTTGGTGAAATGAATTACATGAATTATAAACTGGTTGCTACTATGTTTGGGTTTTACCTACTCTCAGTCAGTGTCCTATGACCTGGTCATATGGTCAGGCAGAAGGGCAAAGGAAAAATTGGTCTATAAAAAATAATGCCCTTATGTTGCACAGTCCTATGGAAATCACTATGGGAATGTCAGGGACATAGTAAAATAGAAGACATTGATTACTATCAGAAGAACCCCCTTCTTTGATCAGAAGGTAATTGGAGCCCTGGCTGGTCTGGCTCGCTGGCTTGTGAACCAAAGGGTTGCTGATTCGATTCCCAGCACATGTGTGGGTTACAGGCCAGGTCCCCAGTAGGGGGCATGCCAGAGGCAACCACACATCAATGTTTCCCTCTCTTTCTCCCTCCCTTCCCCTCTCTCTAAAAATAAATAAATAAATAATCAAATAAATAATCCTTTAGAAGAAAAGAAGGTAACTGGAGCCAGCAAGTGTACTCCTGTAGGGTAGCCACTTTGGTTCCTGAACTAAATGAACATTGGGAGCCTGCAGCAATGCAGCAGTGGGCTGGATCTGAATATATTCCACCTGTACTCTCTGAGGCACAAAACCTAGTAAGAACTGTTCTATGCACCAACAAGAGAGACAGACTATAGATGGTTATCAGGCAGGTTCTCTGGGGGAAATGACGTTCATACAGCTGGCAAGGGGGACTGATGTTGGGAGACTCAGTCCTACAGAAGGCTACAGTGAGTCCTGCAGAAACATACACCTGCTCTAGACTGGACTTTTCTCACCCAGTAACCTGAAAACTTAGAGTCAAAAGACACTGGCATTTTCCTAGAGTTCTCTTTAGTCGTCAACAATTAGTCTAGCTAATCATCATATCCTAATATGAAAATGTCCCCCAGAGCAATGACACTCAGGACTGCAGGCCTCCATTCAACTTTGTCAGGTTCCAAAGGCAAGTGTGCTCACGGCAAACATACCACATCTGTCCCCCAAAAGTCCAGCCATTATTAATATAATGAGAACAGTTTGCATGACATCAATGTAACCTGGCAGCCAAGGAGAGAGGACTGGAACGCACATGCGTGAGTTCACTGTACTAGTCAGTGAGGGTAGAGGGTAGAGGATGCCTTTGAGTGAGCGCGTGTACTGTCTGGCCATCACATTCAAAATGACAGCAAGTAGAACAAAAGATCTGCATCAAATTTTACATTAAGCTTAAACATTCCTCGGTGGAAACTATTCAGATGATTAAGAAAGCCACAGCCATGGGCAACTGGTGATTGGCAGCTTCATCACGACAATGTTCCGACTCATACATCATGTCTCGTGCAGAGTTTTTTTGGTGAAACATCAAATCACCCAGGTGACTCAGCCTCCCTACAACCCTGATTTGGCACCCTGGGACTTCTGGCTTTTCCAGAAACTAAAATCACTTTTGAAAGGGAAGAAATTTCAGGCCATCAGTGAGACTCAGTAAAATACAACAGGGCTGATGGTCATTGGGAGAACTGTGTGAGGTCCCAAAATGCCTACTTTGAAGGGGACTGAAGTGTCATTGTCCTGTGTACAATGTTTCTTGTATCTTATATCTTCTTCAATAAATGTCTCAATTTTTCATATTACATGGATGGATACCTTCTGGACAAATGGCTTCACAATTTCAGGCATCTGGTATAACCATTCTAAAGACAGTATTAATCTCCTTCTTCTGATCCTCTCTTCTAGGCACCAATGTAATATTGGATTTCCCATTTTTGTTGCATACCCAATTAATCATCTCCTTACCCCCAGCTAGTAGTCCTCCTTCTACTTGTCACTGATGTTTACTAAACATTTCTACCTTGGGAGGAAACACAAGGTTTGGCCACTGTACAGATTCAGGTGCCAGCAGTGCTCCCCTAGAGTCCCCTCCCATTGATAGGATAGGGTTACACAGGTCCAGGATGAGGGGCTATTCCTACTACTAGGCGATGTAACTGCACTCACTGACAGTCTGGTTCAGGCAGATGGGCTGTAGGCATGGCCTGCCCCATCAGGCCCTCAGGAATTCTGACATATATGTTTAAAGGTACAATTACATTTTCTTGCTTAGGGATCATCCCTCCTTCTGGCACTTGTAGGTGTATTCCTGGTCCTGGAGACCACTGCATCAGGTAGTAAAACAGTAAGTCCAGATGATGTGGAAAACAATTGTATAGTCTTATCAGTAACCTCTCCTCAGAATCCTTCAGAAACAGAGAAGACTATCCAGTAGGGACCTTCCCTTGACCTCCCCTCCACATGTTGAATGGTAGCACACACATGAAATTTTGCAAGCCAGTCCTTCATGCTTTTTTCTCTCCCCATTTAGGACAACAAATGTTTCAATTGCCTCTTCCAATTTTCTATCAAGCCATCACTCTGAGGACATATGTCACATTAATGTTCATTTGACTTGATACCTCTTGGCCCATTGTTGGAACTATGGGCTGTTCAAATTTGTACAGTATCTTCTGTTCCAATATAGTATTTTATAGTATTTTAAGCATTTTCATCTACAATCAGGTATGTGAAGCTGCTTTAATGTGCCCCTAAATTCCCATAGTGATCTCCTTGGGTTATGCTCCATATGGGCATTTCTTTAATGGTTCAGTTTGTCACAGCCTATCTGCCAGGCCATTGACCTCTGTCCATGAGTCAATAAAAACCTAAACCCAGCAGCTTTTATTGTTCAATTCTTCCATCACTGCAAAGGAAACAGCATGCAATTCAGCACACTGAGTTGATTTGTTCTTAAGTTTGCCAAAGCTTTCTATTAGTCAGTCAGAGTACAGTAGCCTTCCAAACAAGATACTTTGTACTACTTTGGAAGTACCATTAGTAAACTAGCTGTTTTGGTCAATAGAGATTGCTCACTACTAGAAATTGGGCACCTACTGGTGGCTCTTCAGGTCCTTCCAAAGTCCCAGCCCTGCAGGAAAAGAGGCCACCGGCTTTTATGTTCCCCTTTGCATTCACCAAGTAGTGTGTTCCTGTGCAAACCATTTCAATTTTATTAAGGAACTCTTTGGGGGCACTGCCTTCTTTATCAGTGTTTCTCTGATATCACCCAAGATACAATAGGTATTTCAGGTTTCAGGAATATTTTATGTCCTTTAATCATAGAGGCAGTTTCAATCAACACTCAATAGCAAACTAGTGATTGTATCCCAAATGGTACATACCGTATCTTACAGCTGGAAATTTTCTGATCCAAAAATCTCAGCAATTGCCACTGGGTGCAACTCACAGGCTTTTAACCGGGTCTTCACATGGCAACTGCACAGAGAATTGGTCCATTTTATTCTCATGTGTCACTTATTAAAGTGGCAACCTCATTGTGCCCATTGAGTATGTCATACTGTTTCAAATTAACAACCAACGTGGGCTCAAGTAATTGTTCAGGTCCTTTACTTCACAGAGACCCTCCTACTTCTCTCAGCCCTGTATGGTGCCACCACCCATAAGCCCCTACCACACATGTGCACATGCACACACATGGCACACACAACTCTTCTCAGTCCAGAGAATATGCCCCAGACTCTAGCTTTTCTTCTCCCCCTCCCAATTCTCTCTGCAGCCAGATTTACTGCCATGGGGACCTCCTGCACCAAGTTCAGATGGCCAAACTCTACCAGGATGACAAGCAGTTTGTGGACATGCCACTGTCCTCAGCTCCAGGTGAGGCTCCTTGGGGCCCTGCCTTCTCCTGAATCTTCCACCAAAGATAGCAGGGGCAAAGCCAGGCAGAGAGGCATCTGATCAGGGAGGGTTCATGGGGTTCCACTGATCCCTCCCTGTGCCTGTTGCCAAGATCAAGTCCTGCAGCACTTCAACAAACTGGTCAACACCCACAACCACAGCATCCCCGCTGATCAGCTGCAGGTGTTCCTCCAAGAACACTTCCATGCAGTGGGGCAGGAGCTGCAGCCCTGGATCCCTGAAGACTGGAAAGACAGGTATAACTCCGGACAAGAAACAGGAGAGGGGCCTTTGAATGGGGCTGCCTTCCTGAACTCTGCCAAGCCAATGTCCTTCCAGCCCCCGGTTCCTACAGAAGATCTCAGACTCCAAGCTGCGAGCATGGGCAGGGCAGCTGCACCAACTCTGGAAGAAGCTGGGAAAGAAGGTAAAAGTGTCTTGGGCCTGAGAGAGGGATGTGCCATTTTGGTGCCCACCCTGCCCCTACAGCAAAGACTGGGACTCATTTCCTGAGAACACAGCCTCCCACTCCTTGGGTCCTTGAAAAATTCCTCTCTAGAAAGAATTTCTAAGAGGGAGCAGGGGAACATCTACTTGTAACTCCTCACCTCCTCCCAGAAGCCCTCCCAGCCTCCCGTAGGCAAACCTAGCCTACTCTGCCATCTCCTTACTGCCCAGTCCTGTCTCTAACACCACTTGGTAACAAA